TTGCAAAGAAAGCGCTCATGAAGAAATCCAGAGTTAATTACTCTTGAGTTTTCATTTTATTTCAATTGAAAAAAAAAAATTTACATCTCTTTTATATTACTTGTTTCTCTACACTCCTTCACATAGTTGTTTTCTCCTTTCTTTACACTCCTTTATCACTAGTTTTCTTTTATTTTCATCTTTGAAAGAGATTTTTATTTTCAACAAAAAAACCGCTACTTTTTTGCCTGTAACGCTGAGTAGCGCTGCGCAAAAAAAATACGCTACCAACTACCTTTTCAGCCAAAGGATAGTTGGTCACTACTGCCAGAGCTACCAAGCCTGGCCGACTTTTTTATGCGCTACGCCTCTCATTTTAACGCCAGTGGCGCTGCGTAGCGCTGCGAGCCAGGCTTGGTCCAGGTATAAATTCAAAATGTTTGCTATTAATGGTATCAATAGGGTCAGACAGGTTGACACTAGATACTCACTGGATTTTCACTTCCCTAGTTTAGATTTCCTGTGTTTGTGGCTTGCTATATATCTATGTTTCTACATATCTATACATTGTGTTCTCTGTGATGTTTGGTTCTTATGATGATTAGGGCTGAGCTGTGATGCACCATTCAGATCAGAATGATGCCTTAATCTTTCTGAGATTTTGCTGTGACCTGAACAAGTAGACCTGAAATTGACCCCAAGATTGCTTAGATATCACTCCTTCTTCAAGTTCTGGATGTCAAAACTTTGTATCTTTTTTTGCTTTCAATTTCCTTGTTTGATCAATAATTCTGCTTAGGCACACCACTGATCCAAAAGTCAAACCTGATAGTGCATTTAGGAGGTACCACAGTGGGCATGGGGGATGTGGAATTCATGAAAAGTTGACCTTTGTGTGAGCAGGAGGTGCACTTGAGCCATCAACCAAAAGGCAAATTCTGAAAATAACAAGAGAGTTCAACTTCTGAGGGGATATATTTCCTCACCCTTATGCTGAGGGACAACTGGCTGGTCATTTTCTATGTGCTCTAGATGATTACAAGAGGTTATGAGCCTATTATCTACCAACTGTGTTGAAACAGTGTAAATCCCCAAAAAGTTGTCTTGCTGATAAATCAAATTGTTATCAATTTCACATCACTTTCAATACCCACATATCATACAATAAGTTCATATCATTAGTATTACCCTAATTCATAATGCTTATAAACACTCTTCACCTATATCCAATAATCATTGAAATCATAATCATTCTACATCATGTCTATAGTTCCTCACATTAATCCTAACTATTCTCAGAAACCTGATATCACCACTTCTCCCCCATCTGATATCCAGGCTGCATATGTCTCAGGCTCTTAAATCTAAAAGCCAAAAGTTTGAGGCAAAACTTCAATCTTGAAACTTGCTCATAGAGAAACTGTTATCTCAGTTAGAAGGGTTCAAGATTAAGAAAATCTCCCACTCCATCCAACAGTACCTTAGGCTCTGCCCAACCCCAAACCACCACCACCAAGAAACCAGTCCCCCAAAATTCTGTCAACATTGGTTTGGTAAGACCTGTTAGAGATGTATTGGAGCTGCATGTAGGTTCATCAAAGGCAAAAGCCAGTGTCAAGGCAGGCTTGGAAAAGCCACAGAAGAGGTCCCCATCAAGTAGTTACTGCTGAGTATGCAGACAGGTTTGAAAAAAACAAGGAAATGTGATCAATTATCTCTCAGCTGGTAAATATCCATTGAGTTTCTTTTGAACTCTAGACTGTATTTGAAGTTAACATCAAAGTCCTTTGAGGGATTTTGAAGGTCAAGTCATCTCCACTCCCAGCTGACAAAGCAAGTATGCAATTCTTTGCCACCTCATACACCAATCTTGAGAAAGTCGCAGCTGCCATTGATAGTTCTGCAACTCCTCAACTGTTAGCCCTTTCTCAAATTCAAACACTATGCAAAGACAGAATGTTTCAAATAGGAGTGTCCTGTGGCATGATTACACTAGATCAGGAAGAAATTTACACAATCCACACTTCTCTTTCAAAGGCCAGATAATCTCACTGCAAATATGATGTATTTTTCAAAGGTGAAAAATGATTACATTTAATTTAGAAAATGATTAAGAATGCATTAAGTCAGCATTCATTCTATATTTTTCTACTTTCATTCTGTATTATTAATCATTTTGTAGATTAAAATCCAATTATTTTTCACATTGGAGACATACATTAATCTTTGTAGTGTCTCTATGGGGCCCCAACTTGACTCAAAGCCACAAAGCCCTCTTCAAAACTGTCTGTTGATAGATTTCCACTTAAACATTTTACAAGCTCTCATCCGGCCCTTGCTACCAATATCTCCATGTCTTAAGACTCTCACTTCTCTGTATACAATCACTACCTCTGTTATTATTGGACCAAGAAGTTCAAAACAGAACTCAAACACACCTTTAGTTCTTTGATCAAAGCTGAAAAAGATCAAGACCATATTCCAAAACTTCAAAATGGTAAAAGTATCTTTCTTCTCATTTTTTTTTTCAAATTTCTTACCATTCTTGTGGTCCAATTCTCAGCTTACCAATACAATATACCTTATAATTAGAATTTTCCAAAAAAAAAAAAAAAAATTCTCATAGCATCACAAGAAGTTCTTGGAAAAAATCTTATGCTCATATGTAATGAATTTATGAGCATGAAATCAAAAACAAGGTCCATCTAATGAAGACTTTTGGATATTGTTCAGACATCACTACCAATTTTTTCAGCAGCATCATCAATGGGGATTTTGCTCAGACCAAATCTGCTAAGGTTTTCCAGTAACATCCTGATGATATATGCTACCAAGGATCCCTGTCCCCTCTGTGTACAAGTCTCCACCAAACCAACTTCCCCTTGATTATTAAACCCTACAATAGTTCAACAACTGAAAGAGCTTGCAAATTGGAAAAGCACCATCTGGTCAAGTAAACACATGGTGATCCCAGTGTGGATATACATCATACTGTGCTCTGAATGTGATGAAGCAGTCATTCTGCCACTGATTGATGGAACCTATATCATATTTTGTAGTCATTAAGCTTTTGGTGTGAGATACCAAATGTATGTGAGTTTTTATGAATTGATAACCTAGCAATTTGTGTTGCAAAAAGCTGTAAGATTCTTAACCCTGATGGGTGTGTTTAGTTGCAATAGTCTTTCAAATTGACAGGTTTGACATTCATTTGAGCTAAGATTTTTCTGTATACATAGATCTTTTGAAATCCATATCTATACCATCTCCACTGTATGTATTCTTCTTTCTCTATGATCAGTACCCAAACAAAATCCTTCAAAACCTTTTCAAAGTATGCACATCTTCTTCTTCATGCTTCTATTCCTCTGATCTGATATTTGCAAGCACAGGCTCAGTAAACTTCAACATATGTTTGAAACTCATAGATCAAGGAATTTTGGGGAGGGGTAGGGCAAAAGACTTACACTTAATTGAACAAGAACTATCTAAATGTTAAGAAGCCATATGTAATGTTAGGTCAAAGTAGGTACTACATACAAAATCATCCAGAAAAACCAAAACATGAAAAAAAAAGAAAGTTATATTTTCTTCAAGCAAGACAGTGACACCATTTACCTGAACATACCTTGATTACTAATGTAGTAATGGAATGGTAGTACAAGTCTCTTGAATGAATGTATGAATATAATCCATTTGAATTCTACATTTAAAAAAGTCTTAGATTCCAACTTGATTTTTAATTTCTTTTCCAGACTCTCAGCCTACTGTTTTACACTACTCTAACTCTCTAGTAGAGATTCTCCTAAGTCAAGAGTACTCTGTTGGCAGAGCTGGGGGGTGTCTTGAGCCTATGTAGCTTCAGTAACACTTTGAGGCTCTAGTTTCCAGGGCCCTGAGTTGTCTCAAAGATCCAGTTCCCTCTGGGCTCTAAGCTTGAAAGGACCCAGAGGACTTAGAAGTCCTAGCCTACAAAAATAATGAGTAAGACAAAAGAAAAAGACTAGGAACCAAAAATCTTGTCAAACCACTTGTATACTACTTTATGAGACCAGTTAAGTGAGGATTACCTAATACATATACAGGAAGAAGTAACAGAAAACATTTCAAGTTCCAACACACTCTTCTTTCTCTTTTTCCAAGCTCTGATGACTTTATCATGTTAAACTTACATCATCTACAGCCTCAGCCATAGTCTCTCTTTTACCTTCTTAAATTGTACAAACAATGGAAAGCATTCACTCATTGTGCTTTTGGTGATAGATAGTATGAAATCATCATTTTACTTTACTTTTACTGCAAAAAAAAATCAATTCCAAAAAAAACAAAAAACAACAATTTATACACACACACATATACCCACATATTTTTTCAAACATTTTAACAATCCAACAAATCAACCCAATTGAGTAAAAATCACAAAAAAAGAAGAAAAAGATCAAAACATTTACAAAATCCAAAAAGAAAAAAAAAACGACAAAATGAAAGCCTTTTCAATGTAACTTGAATATTTTTTTTTCCAATGGCAAAACCCCCCCAAAAAAAAACATCCATCCTTTCCTTCATTCCTTCCTTCCTATTTATTCATTTATTCTTCCTTACTGATTCACTTCTTCATTTCTTCTAGGTTTCCCATTCCAATTCGATTGACTTAACCCATACTCACTACAATCTACTACATACTCCGATACTCTTCCCATTCGAAGAAAAAAATCCCTTTGAAAGTTTACTTTTTAAGAAAATGATTCGAAGGAAACTGATAACTCATAGATCGTGTCATACTACCTAACCCTTTTCCATTCCCATTGCCCATCAAATTCCCTACCACTCCTCCTCCTGCTCCTCCTGTTCCTCCTCCGCCATTCCCTCCAACACCATTCGTACCTAATTCTCGTTCTTGAAACCTCATTAATTCAGCCAAGAATCCGATATCTAACCCAAAGAAAAAAAGTCACATCACATCAACTTCTTTCCCTTTTCATTCATTGGTTTGAATCAAATCTTAAACCAAATCTATAAACTCAACTTGGACAAATTCCTTTTCTTCGATTCGAAACAAACTCATACGATTCTTTTAATGAGATCTTATACCGATGAATCAAATAAGCCAAGACGATGGTCACCGATCTAGATTTACCTGCTTTACAATGTACATAAACGGCTGATGAATGTAATAATGCATCATCTGTTGTGAAAGAAAAAGAAATCCATCAGTTCAATCTTTGAAACAGATGATGGGTCAAAAGTATTTGGCAATGGCTTTACCTAAAAACTTATTAGCTAAATCAATTCCATCCTGTACTCCTACTTCTTCGACAAAATCTCTCAATGAAATCTTCATATATTTTTCAATAAATTCAGTTTCATTTGGATGATCATCAGTTTCATTTGATTTATATGATTCAACTTCAATGGCTACATTTAAGATTCGTTTGATTTTCATTTGATTTAATTTTTCATAATCTTCACTTTCAATCGGTTCAGGTCCTAAATAAAGAAATCCAGGTATGATCGTCGAGGTCTTAAACCTTGAATTACTTTGATGACTCAATGCTTGTGTAGCTGAATCCGGTGAAACTAGTTTGCCTACTTGTGTGGGTGATGATTCAGATGGTGGATGATGTTGGAAAATTGATGCAGGAATTGATGTACAAGATAAAGATGAAGCTCGATTGATGGGTTGTGTGTGATGTGAGAACGGTCTTTTTTGAATGGGTGAACTGTTGGTATGGTTTTTGGGTGGAAAACAAAACCCACTTGAACGACCTACACCAAGGTTGGTTCGATCGACTCTAGGTGTATGACATGATACTGGTCTTGCTCCTACTCCTGCTCCAAGTGGTGATGGTAATCTAGAACCTCCTGTGTTGGGTGATAATCTAGTGTATCCTCCTTCAGATGATAATTTAGATGACGATGCTGCACTTGTGCCATTTTCATTCAGATGATGTGATCTTGGTGCACTAAGTGATGATTCAGAAGTATCAATCCTTCGAAGTTTAGGTGGTTTGTTCTTTTTACTACTTTGAACCGTAAGCTTATTTCCCAACATTAATCGAAGTGATTGTGTATTCGAAGTAGATGAATCACAAGCTGATGAACTAGCTGATGATGTCGTCTCCGGAATAATCAACTTGGGACCTTTTTCAATCGACGGAAGTGACCCTTTCAAAGGTCCACTAGGTTGTAACCTTCTTAAGCCTTGAGGTCCTGATCCACTTGAAACCTCGTACTGCTCTGATCGATCCGTAGGACTGATCATGTCAAAAGCCTCACTCGAGTCGTAACTGTTTCTTTCACATTCACCAGTCACTAGCCATCGTTTAGCATCCGGATTATCAACAAATCTCTTGAAAGATTCATTGAGAAAGTAAAGTCCATGATTGATACGTTTTCGTTGATGTAACACATCCAACAAGATTGTACCAATGGCTTCTTTGGGTTTCTGTCTTGAATTCTCATCCGACGCCAAATCATCATCAATGACACAGATGTCCACTTCATCTAAAACTTGACTCGTTTCATGGCGGGATCGATGAGTTTTCTCTAGCTTTGCATAATATCGTTTACCAACTTCGGTAGTGATGAAAGAGCCAAGTTGAAATTGACCATGATGTCCTTTTCGAAATCGCTTGATTAACAATGATGGAAAGTTAACATTACTTGATAATGAAAGAGAAAAAAGTCAGAACACGATGAATGGATACTTGGAAGACAATTTTATAAAAAAAGAGCTCACATGGACCCTTTGAGTCGACCTTCAGACCCTAGATACTGAGGTAAGCTCCTAAGATCAATGATCAAAAGAGACGAGTGAATATCGTTTTCTTTCCCTCTTCCAGCTCTGTTCATCAAATCTATTAGTTGATCTGCATTGACAGGTGTAGGTTGGATAGGAGTAGCTGCATTTGAAATTCGGTCCGGTAAACTAAGAAGTGATCCAGTAATCGGACCAAGAGGGGAAAGGTTTGAACCATCAGATTGAAGTTTGAGTGATCTTCGACGTTTAGCAGATGCAATCGAATTTCGATGAGAAGGACTTTTGCAATTGATGGATGTTGACCTTGATGGTCTGGTAGAGAGAAAAGGACTTGAAGTATGATTGAGATGACTTGTTGATGTACAGTCTACGATTTTAACACCCAGACTTTCAATAGATTGAATCTCATCTTCGGTCATAGGCATTGCCGGTTCGGGTGAAGAAGCAACGTAAGGTGAAGCCCAAGAGAAATGAGCACGATTTCGAACAGGAGTAGAAGGATCGTTTGGGGTCGGATTCCATGAGATTCGTTTTGAGGCAGGAGATAAAAGAGATGAGAGGAGTGGAGCTCCAGAGTGAGTACGACGATGTGGAGAAGATGAGGAAGGATGAGGTCCAAGGACAGTGTTCGGATGGATGAAAGCTTTAGGACTGAGTGGCGAAAGGTGATGTAGACGTGGTGAGGAGGATTCCAATGAGATGGCATCTGAAGAATTGAAGAGTATTTGGTCAGTAAGATATTGGAAGGGAGAGAGTGAGTAGAATAGTTGATTCTAACCTTTTGGACTGATGGAATGTGAACCTGAACTCCATCTATGTTGAAATCGTTTAGAGTCACAAGAATGAGATCCCAAGATAGATTGTGACTTGAATGATTTAGTCAAGTTGGAAGGGGTGAGTTGTTGGATTGGAGAAGATGATGAAGCAGTTGGAGTTTTGATTGAAGTTAAAGGACTGATGATATGATCTTGATTTTGATTTAGAGAAGGATCAGACGATGAGGAGTGCCAGTTTGAGTTTGAATCGAGAGATAAGACGGGTTTAGGTGAAGATGATTGATAAATTGAGATTGAGTTGAAAGTAGGAGTAGGAGGTTGAAGTTGATGTAGATTGAGATTCATCATCTTGGTGATAGATTGAGTAGGAGTGATGAGAGATGAATCGAGATCTGAAGAGAGTTCTAGTTGAGAAGAGTTGAATGAAGTAGGATGATTGGTTGTTGTGTTTGAATCTGAAGATGATGAATCGAATGAGTTAATGAGAGATGAAGAATCAGATGAGTTGGATGAGTGATTGATCAAAGTTGAAGAAGTTGAATGATGATGAGTTGATGAGTTGGTTGAGATTAGTTTAGCAAATGAACCTACTAATCTATCGAAGACTGATGAGTCAGATGATGAAGATGATGAAGATGAAGAGTTGATTTTCTTTTTTGATGAATCTGATTTGATCATCTTCAAGAGTCAAGTCAAGTGAAGTAGTGAAGCTCAATCGAGTTGATATAGTCTTGGTGATGATAGCTTGGATTGGATTGAGAAAGTAAAAGTAATCTGAGATATTCCACTCTATCTCTCTCTCTTGTTTCTTTGATTTGGTTGTCGTTGTCGAGTAAAGATTGAGTTGTTATGGTTTTGAATGAGAATCTCAACCAATCGGATTGTCAAATTCAATTCATTAACCCTAACAACCCATCCATTCTACCAATCTACTCTTCTCACATAAATCACTCATTCACTACCTGTCTTCCTCACTCATCCGCCACTCCTAATATGCATAAATCATCTTCTTGTATTCTTCTTTCACTTTGACAAAACCATGGGCTCTTGAATTCACTCTCCAGTGATAATCTCAGAATTCTCAAACCCATGCCCTCCACTACAATGTAAATTCTAAAATGAGGACGAATGAGGAATAAACACATCATCACATATGACTCAGACAAGACGCCGCATTTTGGTTGAAATGAGTTGACAAGATGAGTACTGGATTGAAAGGTAAGTCAACAAAAGGCAAAAGTTGAGACCGTGACAGTCTTGGACGCGGAAAACGTCTTCAGTGAGAGAATTTAGAAATCTCACAAGAGAGGTCCTCAAATATACTCAGCATCGGCAGAGATTAAAAAGGCCAAGGTGAACAGGTGGACGAAGGTCAACAGCAAAGCATAGATAAGGGGGAATAGTTCTAAAATTCAATTTGACCAACTGTTGATAATAATAATGCAATTACAAAGCAATATATAGATTATAATGACAACAAATCATCTCTAATGTTTAGCTTTTTCCTAAAGAAATGCAAATATTTCAAAGGTTCAGAAATTGAACACCACGAGTGGACATTAGAGTTATGACTCACCTTGTTAGCAGTGGCCGATGCACCATCTTTAGCCTCATTCATCTTGTCACCAACTGCATCCTAAAAGTTGACAAAAACGTATTAGAAATCTTGATCACGTTAAAAGCAAAGATGAGAAAATAATTCAAAACTTACTTTAGCAGCAGATGCCCTGGTACCCATGCTAGCGTCGCTGTCTTTCGCCACATCCTTGTTAGCTTCTTTGGAAGCAGTGTTTGTGAGCTCGCTGGCCTTGTCACCGACGTACTAATCACTCGAACATTAATCAGAATTAGATCAATGATAACAGACAGAAAGCAAGACATGAGTACTGACGTTTAGGCTGTCTTTAACAGTTTGCATGATGATATGGATGAGATTTTTGGGCTGTGCTAAAGACGAAAGAGAATGAAGAGAAAGCAATGGTATGATTAAGATGAGACAATGGTAAAGAAGAAAAGTAAGAGAAAGAAAAGAGAGAGTCTGGAGTAAGAGGTAAAACGCACAAAGTGAGTTTTTGAAAGATTGGTTGTTGGTGATTTGAATGATGACTTGGGGATGGGAGGAGGAAAGAAAGCGACGATTGAGGTCAGCTTTTGTAGTCGAAAGTAAACGGTCAACAGGCTCTGAAAATGAAGAATGACGTCAACTTCAAATAGAACTTAACCCGGTAATGGCTTACACCATTCTCCACTCGATGAAGATCGGCGCTCACTAAAGAAAGGTAAATCACGGTCTGTCGATCCGGCACAAACGATAACCGAGCCAAAAAGCCATCATCAACTTGCTTCACTCGCAGATGAGAGACAGTAAACTCATGAGGCCTTTTGATATCCTAACAGCACTTGCTATGGTAAAACTCATATATGAATCAAAGTGTTCGTCTTCACAGAAGTTTGATTCGATGAGGGGTTTCAAGCTGATAGTTTTGAGGTATATGAAGCGACATACATCAGCTTGAAAACGTACGTAAAAAGTATCTCCAACCTGGGGTCTACGAATTGAGGGCAGCTCTCATGAAGATGTTTGGGACACTTGTGAATTTTTGAACAAGACATGAAATTGATGACATACCAATGCGCGGATGGGGATCACCAATGATTTTCAGGTGAAAGTCAGGCAAGCAGTTTTGGCTCATTGAGTAAGAAGTATTGGGTTGGTCTTGCGCGACCTTTGGCCTCCATCAACTCATGGTCAGCATCGCCACGCAGTACGCTTGCACAATAAAGGAAATGACAATTTTGCACATCTTGGCCAGCGGGGGAGTCACACTAATTTGGGTAAATATTCAGTTGCCATGGCTTGGGAGCGGAGAAGTATCGTCTCAAAGAGACGCAATATCGAAACGTAGTAGCAACCCAAAAGATGGGGAAAGGACCAAACTTATATAAGTCCAACTCGCGTGGCCCCGACGGTACAAGTACCACGTACCTCCGAGCGCCAGCGAGGGACTTACGCGCAATCTCCAAAATCTGGCGTGAGATCAGGGAGGGCTTCTGCCCAAAATCTCTTGTCTCACTCCCTCACTTCAAACACTTATCAACACATGTTGAGACTATAATGAAAAAGACGCGCAGGACTGCCTTCTATAATTTGCCATGCTCAATTCCCCAGCGGCCCATCACGTTTTAATAATAGATCCCAAAAAAGGTTCTGGGCCATCACCGGGGCCGCCTGAGGTTACATGTGCTCCCAACGCTGCGCGTCAGAAAGCTTTGCCTCAGCGAAAGATTTAACTACAGTTGGAAATGCAGTTTGGCTTTGGCATTTGGCATGATTCACAGTACATTGCTCATAACAGATCCAGTAGGCCCGAGCTGGAAGTGAGTAATATGTCAGTATGAATGTTGCAACATGAGGTCATTGGGTCAGGCAATATAACTGACCACACAATCCTAGTAGCTGCGCAAGCACTCTACCTTTCAGACGGAGAATTCTTGGGGGCTACCCAGTTTGTTGATGTTGATTTGAAGTTCATCTGCCTGAGCAACATTAAAGCAAAGGACGGGCAAAGGAGAGCATTAAGTCAATTGCTTACACAGGCATATGACGAGCATAGAATCACCTGCTCTTGCACGAATTCACGCCATATAGTATCCCCGTTGCCTGCATCATATATGCAACCTCGTATACTCATCAAGACACTTCGTATCAAGCGGCGCGAAACTGGGCTATTCCCACGCAGGTCATGTCGTTGGGGTCTTCGGCGGAGGAAACGATGATCCAAAAAGTTGAAGATGAACTGCCAGACATTCATCTGGCTGATTTCGATGAATTCGATGATCTCCACAGTTTGATTAAAGAGCCTTCGCGTAGTTGATGATGATGCACGGTTTTTGGCGATGCTCGTGGGGAACGGTCCATCCACGGCTTCGATGAATGAGTCCACGGTGAGGCCTTCGCCCTCAATGGTGTCGGTGATTCTCCCAATGACTCCCTCTAGATCAAGCAGGGGGTCCACGTAGGGTGGCATATTGCGAGGTGATATACAATAACTGGGTCGAGGCAGAGAGATCCTGAGCCCTTTGAAGGCAACTGTGCGAGGTTGCGAAGTCCTTTTGTTATCTTTTCTTTATCAATGGATAGCAATTACAAGTCTCATGAATGGCGGACACCCACCCCAATCTGCACTGGTGTGAAACACTTTCAAGTTCAGGCGCAAGCGCGTTAAAATGACTGTTCCCTTTTCATGTGACTTCAAACCATGACTCGGTAGAATGAATGGGACTCAAACTTTTCGATGGGCACTAAGCAATATATTAGCTTGATCCGAGGGTATGACCGTTTCACTTGGATAAAACCAGGAGCTTGACGCTTGGCTAGTCCTTTGGTCACCTGCCGATTGGGCAGTTGTTCATGTGCACCGGATCCCAATAGGTATTCCGATTATGGGAGACTCACAACTAGTGTCACATCATCGGCGCTCTTGCACACGTTTGGCAAGCTGGAGGTGCTACGGTGACACGAGGAGGGACCCAGCGCAGAGTGTATTTGCTGCATTCGGTTCAGTTGAGGTGCCTTTCGGATGCGGATGGTATATCTCACATTGCCAATAGATTTCAATGTAACAACTGAGGGGGGCAAGGGTAAGCGCCTCGTTTGCTTCACTTATCGCAAACTCATGAGGTGTTTCGATTCAAGCAAGGAAGTGACCCCAGTTCGCTGACGCCCTCATTACTTTTCATGACGGCGGCCCACTGAGTATCTTGAAGCCCAAAAAACCCCCCAGCGTTGATATCAATTCTCCTGCCTTTGATATTGGCCTGATTATTCCTCGTCTATGGAACCGGGAGTTCAAACTGCGGACAGCAGGCCGTTGCCCAACACTGTAAATCGTACCATCCTGGTGTTGAGGTACATGGCCGAGCTGGATATCGCTCCAAAACAATTCATGGTCACTTTCATGTCGTCCATGGAACCGGAGATCAAATATTGTCGACGCCTGATGAGGACCGGCCTGGGGATTGAGCAAACCCGTTCAATCATCAACAATTTTGGCAAACACACAAAGTCTTGCGAAGAAGGTCGTGCGGCGTGGGAGGAATTGATATTGGACCAGGTAGGTCGCTTCCTTGGTCCGGATTGAATCATCACAAAGGTTAACATCTGATGGTGATGATTCACATCCCTTCAGGCTTCAGACATCGTGAATCATCAAGGATTGCCCCGCGGACATTTCCCTACAGGTGCATATGTCAGTTCAAACAGAATCACCGCCGACTTTTTCAGCGAGAGTTCTGAAACACTTCGCGAAGAGCAAGTAAAAAAAGGAATGAGCTTCCTATACTCACTCATTCATCAAAAGGTCCAAACCGACCTGAATCATCCGCCTGAAGGTGAACAGGATGACGAAGCAGATGAAGACAATTCCTTCACCGATTGCGCCTCAAACACTGCCATGGCCTCTGTGGACGGTAGCCCAACGGTTGATGGTGATCTAGATGAAGATACTGTAATGTCCATGGAGAACCTGGTATTCGTCAAACCTTTGGACAAGGACCAAGCTCGTCACAAGCTGGCAAAGGTTCAAGCACCTCGTTTCTTAATCAATCAGATGTATTCGAGCTGATATATGGGATGAACCACGTAGGTCCCCATCTTGGTTTGTGCAATGATTGCGAATACCGGGAACCGTCGCAGCAATGCCCTTCAAACCGCCAATGGTTTGATGGGATACGCGGGTGGAATATCATGTCGAATCAATGAGTGGCTGCATTGCCACGGAATCACGACTTCAAGGTCGACTACGCTCGCCGCTATGGACAACCTGCGCCGTGTACAAGAAGATCGTTTGATGGACGTGTTCAAGCTCAATCATAAGCTTCTCCCACTGCTCATATACGACAACATCGATATCCAACTGAGAATTCATAATACCCGTGTAGAAGCTTCGTCTCGCCTATTTCACGGAACCTGGGGATTCTTCATCGTGGTGAGGGCTTGTCTCCAGGCGAAGTGTAGCACGGAAGTAGCCCGACTGGCCTCTTTTTTGGACGCAATGGCCTTAGCCGACAAGAAGAGCGTCCATCTGTCATCTTTTTGCCCTACCCCTGCGGAAGCGGCACATTGGGTGTCAGTAGTCAAGGCGCAAGTGGCGAAAGCATTGAAAGAATACGTGGATCACCTCCCTGGCGCGCCAGACAGGCTCAAGCTCCCTTCACTGATGACCAAACCGCCACCCATTGACCCCATTGACATGCACTTACCCAATATACATTTCCTACGAATGATAGACGCGCCAGATTCTTCAGCCGAGGGTGTCTCGCGGGTCCTAGACGAGGTCATTCGGCAAATAGGTCTAGATAAGAAGAAGTACGCGGAAAGCCTGCTTGTAGCCGGAGGTGACGTGGGCTCGAATCAATTGCTCAAGAGCCTGCGTCAGAAGCGGTTTCCTCCTATTGACTCCGTAGAGGGAATCCAATGGGTGCTCTCCATCTTTGGTGGGGCTCATACAACGTGGAACTTCACAAAGGCTCTACTAGGTCACCACTGGGGGAAATCCGACAACGGCGATGACACAGGAGCCTGGCGCTCGTTGTTTGCGTTGGGAGGAGAATATAAAAAACCTCCGGCGACGCAAGATTTCAACACGATTATGCGCTCGGCCCGCATACTTCATAAGGCCAACCTGGTTCATATCATAAGGTCAGCGTCTATGTATGATACGAACTGGAACGCATGTATGTACTTACCCACCCTTGGTAATTCAAGAGAGACATTCGAGTCCAACCACGAATTAGATTTGACCAAGGCGAAAGACTGTGAACGTCTGGTAGATCAAATTTGGGATGTATATTTTAGTGGAACATCATTAGAAGAGGCCAGACTGGCGTTCGACTCAACTCGATACAACTTGATGTTACGGCTGCGAGACTTCGCCACCGTGGTCGAGGCTCACGAAGCCACCCGCGCGGGGGATATAGGGCGTCTCATCCTCGTGTGGAAACATTGGGCTGTGATGGCCCAAGGCATTCAGGGGTTGTCAAATTATGCAAGACACATCCCGCGGATCGTCTTGTTGCTAGAGGAAGACTTACCTCGAGAACTGGCACATGCAATTAAACATTGCCTCCTGATTCCGTCTAATGAGAGGCCAGATCATTGGCTTCCGATTGATGAATACCTCGAGATCAGCATCTTCTATCTCAAGCAGGTTTATAATAACACGGTAAGTAAGCTCCACACATGGTCAAGTAGGCGTGCTCTGTTCATGACGGAATGTTGACCAAGCCACCCTTTGAGCGCCCTTAGGGGAATGGCACTGACCTTCGACGCCTGATGGATCGACTCTCCAACATTATTTCTTTGGTAAGTTTCGAGCAGATCCTCAAAATTTCATTGCATGAATTGTCACAAAGCTTAAAACATTTGAATACAACCGCCTGCAGCTACGAAAGCTAATGCAGCTATTTAAAATTCACTCTGGACACACGTTACTCTTTCAACCGAGCACCAATTCCATTAGCCCTCAGTCGATGGCGGCGTTCCTGGCTTATGCAAAGGCAAACCTAGGTAAACAGGCGGCCAGGCGGCCTTCACCTAAGGTAGGTAATATACTCAAGGTAGGAGGGCGGAATATGATCAAGCTCATTCGAGCTGACCAAATGGCGGGTCGTAAGTCGAGGTTTTGTTGGGGGGCAGCGGACGTGTTGTCTTCGTGGGACAGTCAGGGTTCAGACTTGCCTGGAGAAGAATGACATCAAATGAAATGAAAGATGTTAGCCCAGAAACTCGACAAGTGCTCATAATACTTCAGCAGCGCCTGAGGCCAAGCCATCTCGCTCTGACAATGAATATGGACATTCATTGTCAGAGCGAAATGGCAAACAGTTTAACCGCTTTGATGAAATCGCACCATGGAAATACCTGAGTCGCCCGTTTGTTTGATGGGGTATTTTCGTAGCAGTGGTCACGTGGGCGTTTGGGGGTGGTGTCTCGAGGTGCAGGGAGGGGTACCACCGGACTCCTTGGGGAGGTTTGTGCGACCTCATTCTGTGCAGTTGCCGCAGCCTCTTTGGTCAATCGTGCTTGACCTCGCTTAGCCGCCGAGTTTGCCTCACGTTCCAATTGTGCATGTTCTCTCTTTGCAGCAGCAACAGCCTCACGTTCCAGGCGTGCCAGTTCCTTCTTCGCAGCAGTGTCATTTTCTCTTTGGGCTTTCGCGGCGGCCCGTTGCTGAGCTCGTTCAATGGAAAGTGCTTCCTTCAGGGCGGCCCGTTGCCGCGCTGCTTCTTGCTTTTCTCGCTCTTTCTTTTCGAGCACCGCCGCCCTCTCAAACGCCTTCGCCTGGGCGTCCCGTAGTTTCTGTAAGACTCGGGCCTCCTTGGTCGCAATTCAAATGGCCTCGAGTCGATGCTTTGAAAGCTGTGCCCCCTCAACTGATTGGACGAGTTTGGGCGGCCCGCGCGAAGGGGTGTCCCTTCGATTTGCAGCCAGGGCAATAATGTCAGTTGATGACTCAAGGTTCTTCCATTCTAAGAACTCGTCGAAAAGTACAGCGAATTGCCCCGAGATGGCCTCGCTAGCCAGAACGACTCCGAGATCCTCAGGATCTTGCAGAATATCAACATTCTTAGCGAGGTCCCAAGCTAAGTCTTGGCCGAAATAGTCGTCAGGCCCTAAATGGCAAGGCTCAGGGAAAGTGCTGTGCCAAAAGTCATTGAACACCCGAATCCATCGGGAGACCAGGTTTTGGAGAGCCGGACAGTCCAATATGGGATCATCAGGGCCACAGAGGTATGGAATGGGGCGCGAATCGCCCAAAGGGAAGTGAGGAGGGTCGGGCAAGCTTGCGAGCAATTCTTCAAGGGCGACCTCGTCCATTTCCAGCGCACAATCAAAGTTCACGTTCGTCATAGCCGGTTGAGCCAACCAGAGGGCTTCCGCCTCATCAGGCTCGCAGTTCGAGCAATCACAGACACGCATATCGGACTCTAGCTGCCGTTTCTCTTTGGCAGCGACAACCGCGGAATCGTTGTCCAGCGGTATGTAACCGTGCCTGGATGAATAATCCGAAGGCTTCAGCGGCCTAAGTTCGAATGATAATAAGAGAGTCACAACTTACTCCAGATCAACCGCGAGGGCAACACGCAGGCAGACTGGCGTGATAGCCAGCGCATCCATACGGTCGTCATCGGTCATGACCATGGGCGTTTCAAAATCATCAACACTATTTTTTCCGTTAGCTCAAAAGTGTTCGACCAACAGAAAGGCCAGGCCTCGACGGCGATCCCTGCCACATCGTCCAGACATCTGGACGAAGTTGCACGGGTCTTGGCGCCCAACAATGACCACACGTCGAACCCTGTGCCAGTTCTGGCCTAACCCTAGTGCAAGGGTACAGCAAATGACGGCGAGTTTACTTGCTACAAACACCTGGACCGCGTGAACTTTTGCGTTCTCGCCGGTGGTGGCGTGGTAACGCCGAGCAAAATCCGACTTGCCATTTCCAGCCTCGGTAGGTTGTCCTCGGGCCAAGTTAATCAGCTCTAGATAATCCAATGTTGCATTTTGAGTGCCAGAGTAAATCAGAGTCGGAGGAATCGATGATGTAGGTATCAAAGTATGATGGGTAAAGAGGTTCCGTAATGAGGCTTTCAGCGGGCGCTTGAAGCTTCTTCTGATTAAACGTAGTTCTGGCCGGCTGAGCTCAGCGCGGACGAATCGAACATCACGAGTGTCAAGCTTGAGGTTTCCAACGATAGCTTCAATGGCGTGAGGAGTGCAAGTGGCTGACATCAAGAGTAAAGGCACTTTGTCGGAGGCCAAAAAGCGACGGGCTAGTTGTCCATAAGAAGGTCGAAAGGCCCCACCATCGTGGACTCGGGACCAGCTGGCCAGGCGTTTTGCTTGACCACTCTCGACCAAGCCCCAGGTATATACCATGTGGGCTTCGTCGACCACATTGAGTACCAACCTTGTTTGGAAACGAGCATCCGTCCACATACGATCAAAAACATCGCTCGTCAAGGCTACCTCTGGGCTCTAGTACCATGTGAGTCGAACATCAATTAGAAATTGTCAGTTGAAACTCTCATTTATTTAGATGACGAGAATGGAACTAGGGAAGGGGATGGTCAATACCACGTAGACAAAGTTAAATTTTCCCTGAATAATCGCATTGCAGGCCTCGTGTGTACAGTTGGCTCCTGTCAAATTGATACCTTTCAAATGCACAGATTCCTTCTCGCTGACCTGTTTCGACAAAGACTCGAAATTGTGAGCTCAATTCCAGGTATGCCCGTAGCTGCGCCAAAGGAGTCTAGCTGACCTGGTCGTCACCTAGAGCATCCAGAGGGTTGATGCTCAGCAAAATTGGTGCCGCATGCTCCTCATATGCCAAATAGACCAATTCTGGCACTCGGCTTTTGCCAAACCCAGTACCAGCTAATAAGAATGTTGTTTGGCCGTTGATCAAGTTTATCACCGCCTCGACTTGCTGGGGTCGGGCAGGATATCCATATTTAGAACGAAACAAGTCGCCGATGATTACTGCTTGCTGTTCTTCACTGATCCCTATAAGTTCCGCTCGTAGTTTAGGACGTGACGTATTCGATTTGGCTATTCGGAGAGCCAAGCATTGGAGGCGGACTGACTCCTACGTAGCATTCTGAGAGGTGACGTTTGTAGAAATGATATAGAGGGTTTCGGAGGGTGGTGATATGATGTGATGTCACTGTGAGGGGGTGTGAATTTCGTGTACTTGGCAGAAATTCCTTGTTTGGTGCAGCTGATCGAGAAACTGCAGTTTCTCTTGGAACTTTTGTATGTTTTGTCCATCAATCAGGGGTTTTGGACGCCGCAGTCGTGCCCCAGTCATGTACGGCCCCGGTGATGGCCCAGAACCTTTTTTGGGATCTATTATTAAAACGTGATGGGCCGCTGGGGAATTGAGCATGGCAAATTATAGAAGGCAGTCCTGCGCGTCTTTTTCATTATAGTCTCAACATGTGTTGATAAGTGTTTGAAGTGAGGGAGTGAGACAAGAGATTTTGGGCAGAAGCCCTCCCTGATCTCACGCCAGATTTTGGAGATTGCGCGTAAGTCCCTCGCTGGCGCTCGGAGGTACGTGGTACTTGTACCGTCGGGGCCACGCGAGTTGGACTTATATAAGTTTGGGAAAGGACGGTCTCTCAGGGTTCAAGGTCTCGACAAGACGAGAGGCAAAGGTTGGAACACGGGTCAAAAGGCTCAACCGCAAGCATAGAGAGAACAGTCTAAGATTCATTTTGGCATACGGTGGATGATAGTAATACATTTACAAGGGAAAGTGGGGATCATAGTGGCAACAAAGGATCTCTAATGTTTGGCTTTCTCCTAAAGAAATCAAAATCAAGCAAAGGGTTAGAAGCTAGACCACAAACTCATGACAAAATGTAAACTAACCTTGTTGGCAGTGGCTGATGCACCGTCCTTGACCTCGTTGATCTTGTCACCGACTGCGTCCTAAATGTGCACGACAAAGTGTTAGGGATACTGATAACATTAAACATAGGAGAGAATAATTCAAAACCTACCTTGGCAGCTGTTGCCCTGGTACCCATGCTGGCATTGTCATCTTTGGCAACTTCCTTGTTGGCTTCTTTTGATGCAGTGTTTGTGAGCTCGCTGGCCTTGTCACCAACGTACTAATAATTCAAACATTAATCAGAATCAGAATCAGACCGAGGAGAGGAGTTCAAGTGAAGCTGACGACTAACGTTTACGGCGTCTTTGACAGTCTGCATGATGAATTGGATAAGATGTGTTGAGTTGTGCTAGAGACGAGATGGAATGAAGAGAAAAGAAAATCATAAATTAGAAAAGGAGACGATGGTGATGAAAGAAAGTAAGGGAAATAAAAGGAAAGGGTGTTGCGGGAATCTAAGACGCACAAGGTGGTTTTTAAGAAGATTGTTTGTCGAATGATTTCAATGATGGTTTGTGTTGTGGATGGGAGAGAGAAAGAGAACGGCGATTGAGGTCAGCTTTTGTAGTCGAAAGGAAATGGTCTCGAAGCTCTAGCATGACGTCAACTTCAGTTAGAACTTGATCCGGTAATGACTTACATCATTCCATGAAGATCAACGCTCTCTATGAAAGGCAAATCTTACTCCTCACTTCTGCCATAACCGTATGGTCGAACAAGTCCGGCACAAACGATAACCGATCGGAAAGGGCATTAGCCATTTGCGTCATACTCTGAAGTAAGTCTATCACCCCTGCGCATCTCATACGGGTCGTCAGTTGATGTCCTGACTACACGTAACGCTTGGTATGGTAAAGCTCACATGTGAATCAAAAAGGTTCAGTTTTACTTTGATTTCAT